TATTTATTTATTTATTTATTTTGCAGTGCTAGGGATTGAACCCAGGGACTCACCCATGCTAGGCAAATGCTCTATCACTGAGCTACGCCCCCCAGAGCAGGTTTTAGCTTTATTAACTTTATTTAGCAGGTTCACACAAATGTATGACTGCATTCTTCAGTTATTCCTAAGGAAATACACTCTTCTCTCAAACAGATTTCTCTACAAATTGAGGCAAGGAAGCACAAGTTTGAATTCATTGTTTAAATAACCGGAGCCATCTACTTCCAGTTGAAACCCTAGAGATCACCTTGGGAACCATCCTAACATCAGCTTGGTGGAACCAGGTGGCATGCAAAATGACCACAAACATCTCACACTGTTCTGGAGCCCAGGTTGTTCCGGGCCCTCTCCTGTGGTCCACTCCAGAAAATAATATACCAAATAAAACTGCATAGAAGTCACTAGATCTGCACGTTTTTAAAAACCGCCAATTTTTAAAAGCTGGATGAAGAATAACTACTCGGGCATGAGCTCGTAGAAACTGCTGATCGTCGACAGGTGGGAAGTGTGAAGAGCACGTCTCATTCATGAGTTCCTTGTTGTATGAGACTTACCGCTTCCACCTGGGCTGTGCCAGCAAACATGAAGACAGCCATCTGAGCTGGCAGGATCTCTGGAGAGGAGAGCCAAATGTCCCCACCTTAAGGATGAGGAGCTGAGATGGAAGGCCCAGTGAGCACTAGGGACATCCCAGGACCTGGTCCCCAGCTCTCTTCCCTCCTCTCATTACACAGAGCCCAAGGATGCAGTGTTGGCCAGAAATGAGATTCCAACTTGAAGACAGCCATACTGAATTTTCTCTAACTAAAGAGCCACTTTCTCTGGGGGTGTCCTTTGCAATCCCTCTGCCTGAGTTCACGAAACTCTTCCTTCTGTGTTCCAACCACACGCTGCTTAGAACTCACACAATTATTCACTATTTTGTTTGATGGTGAGTTTGTTTATACCTGATTTCGGTTTAGGCTCCGAGAGGCAATTGTCATTTTCCTGTCATTGTATCCCTACCCCCTGGGGTGGTGCCTAACATATAGTAGGTGCTCAACAGACTTGAGTGCATAAAAAAATTCTGGCATGCAGTGATAGCACATGAAGGTCCACACAGGCAGTGTGTAAGAATGGCAATTTACTTGTGGAGGTGGGTGGAGGGAAAGGGGCGTTACATAGCAAAGGACTTTTAGGTAATGATTTGGGGACAGTTAAAGTGTTCTCCAGCTCCTTCTTGGGGACCCTAATTTTCATGAACTGGAAACTCATCCCTATATTACTGTCCCCTCCACTCACTGTAATCCATCAGGACCTCACACTTACTGGGGTAAGAACGAGTGGCCTAACGCACAAATGAATGAACAGACAGTAAAACCTCTCCTAAGATCTGTCCGCATTGACCAACTGATGCCAGGAGCCAAAATCAGTTCATTTCCAGCTAAAACCAAGAACAAAGCTTTAGGACCACTGTGGGAGGCGAGGCAGGGAAGCCAGGGAGCAGGAGGTGGAGCTGGGAACTGCTCTGTAGCATGAGAAGCCAGAAGCCAGGTGCACAGAGATGAGGCTTCCTGGGAGATGCTTCCCAGGTGGAGGTGGTTCAGGTCCCCAGTGGAGGAATTTTTGGAGTTTCCTGATTTTATAACTTTCTTCTGACAAAGCTAGAACTGTGTATTATCCCCTTCGTTGGGGACGCGTGTTTGTCTGGAACCATCAGGCACACATGGCCTGGTCTCCGTGCCTGAGTACAACGGAAACATGGGTGCCAGAAGCCAGAGCTAAGTTGCAGAGCTGCTGCCTGTGCCTCAGCCACAAAGCACAAAGGACAAACTACATGACCTGAAGGCCCTGCCACCACTGACCCTTAGACGTATATCTAATCACAGAGAGGGTTTCAGTTTAAAAGGAATTTAGTTGACTAGTTAACACATCCATGAACTAAAGCAGCTTGAAATCTGTATATTATTAGTAAATTGACTGGTGTTTTGACTAGTATATACTTATCAGGATATTTTTATTAATATTTGAGCATAGCTGTTTCTCAATAATCAGTAAAAAGCAAACTTAATTATGGAAAACAGGTTATTTATAAACAGGACGCCTGCTCATTAAAAAGTTGAAAGAGCAGAAAGTTCTTAATCCTGCTGCTAAAAAAAATGCAGGATTATGAATTGTACTCGTGGATTCTCAGGTGCTCAGGTAGAACTTGCTGCTGAGCAGGTAACGGCATTAGGGATGGCAAAGAATCCAACGTGTTCTGTTATAGGATTCATGTTTATGCACCTTATTTTCCTTAAGGAGTGGCGGATTTGAATGTGCTCTTTTCCAAGATGCAAACAGTGACGTTCCATGCTCCTCCACATTCAGTTTGCTTCTCCATCCAGGGCCAAAAGGCAGAATGGCCAAATTCCCTGACAGTTTTGTCAGGTGGGCTTTTCTACAACAGGTGAGGCCTTCTGGAAGTGGGAAGAGACCTAGGAATGGACAGATACTGTTTTCTAGCACCAAATGGCTGCCAGCTAAGCATTTCCTGAGGTTTTTTTTTAAAAAAATGGAGAGCCACACGGATCCACAAGGATGCCTTGAGGGCTTGGATAACCTCTTCCTGGGTAATCTTGGTTAAAACATAATTCTTATTGGCTTTCCAACCAACTTTCAAATTTATCTTCAATTAATCTTCAAATTAGCCATGCATGGAAGTAACTTGCCTGACCATTCTATGGAGGGGCAAACAGGCTCAAAGAAGGTAATTTAATTTGCCCAAGAAAAAACTTTTAAGTCTTCAAAGCTCTCCACACTGATTCCCTCTTCTACTATCAGAACTAGGGGTCCTTGATCAGCTGGACCCACCTACCTCTCTGCAAGTCAAGTGCCATGTGGGAAACTGTGTCCACAAGCACCTATGAACCTGTTACCCTCTGGAAGGTTGATAATGTAACGTCTGGGATTTTTTTGTGTTTGGAAAAGTTTCTACAAATAGGAACTTGTCTGGTCTGGCTTCCAGATATAGACCTGGCTTCCAGGACATGGAAAAACCTTTGGCCGGACAGACAGACAGAGGTTCAAATTCCCATTCTGGCCCAAAGTTGGTATTTGAGACTACAACTCTTGAAGATCATTATCTATAAAATGAGGATACACATTAAAGGAACTCGGATTATGGAAATTAATTCACCCTTTGAGGATGAACCCAATGTGAACACTTCAAAGGTAAAAGCACAGAGAAACCAAATTGTCATAAAGAAATGGAACGAGTCCTCTGCCAGGAAGACACAGTAGTTACCTGCTGGGCTATCTTTAGCATCTATTAAAAGTTATAATTACTTGTGCCTAATTCTGTGTCTCAAGTTCAGGGTGGACAGGAAGCAGGCCCATCCTTCACCCCCTGGATCCTCAGTATCTGATCACAAGGTAAGGCAATCGGTGAATGAGACAGAGTTAAGGAAAAACTGAGTCAACTGGAGAGGTCCTGCAGGAACCCCCAGAGAAATGAGGCTGACTCTGTAATGCCCACCCAAGCCCCAGCTGGAAGAGGATGTGCTGGCAAATGGCTGTCACCTGATGATGCACATTCCTCTGGAGGTGTGTGTACAGGCTGTTCACACTTAGGATATTCAGGGTCCTGGGGACATCTGTTCAACTGGATGAAAGAGCTGGCCCTTTAGGGTCACATCCCAGGTGTGAGAGCTGCTACAAGCTGAATTCCCCAGGAAATGAGCCTACGGGGGCCATGGCAGGTTAATCAGGTAAAGAAAGCTTTTCTGTGACATCCTCTATGCCAGCCCACTGGCCACCACCCCAGATGGCCCGTACAACTCTGAGCTGCAAGATCTGCTGATGATTTCCCCAGAACACTTCTTTTGCAAGGTGGTTGTAAGGATGCAGGTAATAAGAAGGACCAGCTCAAAAATGCATGCGTGGACACATAGTGGGATCATTGGTGTCTGAAGGCACGCACCAAACCAATGACTGTGCCAGGCTTCTGTGAATAATGATTGCCGTTTTTCTGCCCCATGGAGCTTCTGAAACAGACTGTAATCTGACAAGTCTAGAAGAGCCAGGGAAGGTCGTGGTCAATGGGAATTCTGGGCAGAGCTTACAGAGACGGTGCAAGATGAATAAATGGTGAATCAGCACCAGAGGCCACACTGCCCTCTTTAGGGGTCTGCAATGTGTTTGGCTGTTAAAATGACCAGAGAGCAGTTCTCGCTTTTAATGACTGAAGGCCAGAGCCAATATCCTATGATGCTTCTGACAGTCTCTGCAGTGAATTGCCCTGCCCTAAATCCCAGCAGCACCCTGATGACCCTGGTGACATGGGAATGGGGTCTGAGATCTAGGACAATGGAGGGAATGAACATTGGCAGCAGGGGTAGAGATTAGGAGGGGACACTCTGCAAGGACAGATCCACAGTTACTTACTTTTTTCCCCAGAGTCAATGGAGGGCCTTTTTGATTTAAAGAAGGGGACGTTTCTCTAACCTGTAGCTAATTATATGTTTGTTTTGGGTGCCACTTATGATATCTTCCCTTTGGTGGCAGCTCCAGCTTGTTGGTCAGTTTCTAAACCCAAGCCCAAGACACACCTTGTGTGTCTTGCACAGAGAGTCACACAGTTTGATCCAATTCCTTTCCTGATGTACCTTTTTCCAAAAGTTGGTGTGACCCTGTGTGGGATATGGTGGGCCCCATATATTGCTCTTGCTTTGTAGTATTGGGAAAGGTGACAAAATGCAACTTAGAAAAAACAGGCAATACCACACACACACACACACACACACACACTCCAAGAAGGAAGCCTGCTGGCTGGAAAGAAAGCATAACATCTTTTTTTTTTCCTTTCAGATTCACAAATACTGAATTTGCAGCATCAAAGCAAGGCAAGTTCACGAACATGGAAAGGGAAGCCACATTACGCACACCGGCATCTGAACTTTTCACCCAGAGAACTACAAAGCATGCATGCATATACATACCCGGCTTGGGTACTGTCGCGATACGGCAGCACGGAAAATATACTACAGAAGGATCTTCTGCCACTGATAAGGACTATTCTAAAAAGTGAAACAAAAAAACAAACAAACAAACAAAAAAAACAAACTAAATGCAAAGACTGAAATTTAAAAAAAAAAAACAAAACAACTCTATAGCAATTAAGCATTCACAGGATTCACAGCAGTATTTGCATACTCCCGCCCCCTCCTCCAACAGATGGTATTCTGCTCTCCTTGCAAAATGCAGCCTCAGCACAGAAGTATGCTGCCTCTATCACCCAAATATTAACACGTGCAACACCAGCGATCCGTGAGTCCTTTCTCCCTTAAAGAGGTGCTGGCTATGGGCTGCACATGCAAGACGGGAGCAGACAGTGCCAAGTTTGGGGTGGGCAGTGCTGGTGAACAGTCATGCCACATTTAAACCACTCATTTGTCTTCTGCAGTAAACAATGCAAGAGCAATAGCGCCAGAAACCCTGAGCAGGAAAGACACTCCGATGCCATTATGATCATTAGGTTTTTTTTTAATATGCTGGCAATGTGTTAGGTTCTGAGAATAGATCGAGGGAACAATTACATAATCAGTCTTAGCTTCCATTCCTGCCATAAAGAAACTACTGGAAACAGTTCTGCACGATGCTCTTATGCAATCCAAAGCCACTTAGAAAAACATTCAAAACAAAAACAAAGACCCTCAAAAGTACTTATCCTGGCATCTGAGAATAACTTTTGCCAAAGGGAATCGCTGATGAGAAAAATGGATAAATGAGTGAAAGAGATTTAAAAACAGCATTCTCTTTAGTGTCAGGTCAACATACATCACAGACAGAGCTTACTTACTTTTCTAATATTTTCCTTCAATAATCATAGTGAGACCAGAGAAAATAGTACTTAGGCAAGGATCAAAGTTTGGGAATTCTAACCTTGTTTTAAAGTTAGGCAATTAGATTGCCTACAGCCCTGGGAGAAAGTCTGGTTCCCTGGCATGGCAAATCAGGCCTCTGCTCCTGGCTTTGCTTTCTTGTCTGAGCTTTATCACGCATTTATACTAAAGTGTTTGCAGTACCCCAACCTAAAGAACAACAACAACAACAAAAACTTGCTGTTTTATACCTGTGCCCATCACATGCTATTCCTTCTTTATGTAATGCTACATTTTGGGACACTTGGTAAACTCCTATTGATTCTTCAAAACCCAGCTGAGAAGTTACCCCTTCAGAGAATGTCCCCCTGCTGATCATTCCTTCTCTTCTCACTGCTGTCTCCACTCCTTTTCACGTTTCCCGGAGTGCCCTGGTGTGACCAGTACTGCTCACCATTTGCTGCTTCCTAGAGAGCAAGTCCAAGGGTTTTTAAGCACACGGCATCTCCCCCATAAATGTCCATTTGATGTCACTGAAATGCAGTCTGACTGCAGAGCAGCACCAGAGGATGCACCAAGGGGCGCGTGGGGCTGTAGCTGTCTGTTAATCACAGGATGGAAGCAATGCTCCCAGCTAATATCAGCTGTCACCGTTGTATACCTCAGGCAGTTTACTAACTCTTCTGAGCCTCGGTTTCCTCCTCTAAAAAATGGGGTAAAATTAGGAAGTATTTCATTGGAATGCTTTAAGAGTAAATGTGTCCACACTGGGAGAATTCTTGAAGTAGCACCTGGCAAAGAGTATACACACTCAATAGACAGGAATGGTCTTCCCTGCAGATCAGCTTTTTGGGGTGAAGTTGTTTCAGCAGCACAGTACTTAGATTGGTACCTCTCCACACCTCCATGCTAAGTACCCAGGCTGCTAAGTGTGAGGGACTGTGCTGTGGACAGCTGAAGGACCACAGGCCTGACCCATCTGCAACGATGTAACACGGCAGTACGTGACTGAAAGAAGTTTCTCCTCAGATACTTGAGACCCCAACTCTGCCAACTGCAGTGAGGACAGAAGCATCATGTCCTGAGTGGTCCTCCAAGGCCTGTGGGGCCAAGAGCCAAATAAAACTCCTGCTCAATACCTGCCAGGTTCCTTGGGCTCTGACATGAAGCCTGGCCACAGAGCTTCCTACGTGACAGTGACCCTGCAAATTTATTTAAGCAGGCATGACAAGGGTTAACACTCGTTACACATCAATTACACGCCAGATTCTGAACGCTTGAACTGACGGGACATGAGCCAGCAAGAGATGTGCCAAAGTTCAGTGAAGCTCCAGCAGGTAAGGCAGACCAGGGATTTGAACTTGAACTCTTCACCACCATGAGTGCTCTTCTGTAATGTGCTAGAAAGGCCTGCTCTGGTGCTTAGCTGGGCACCCTTGGACATCCATAAGTCTGTCTTCACTTATGTTCCACAGTGGCTTTGGAGCCTGGCCTGCATGTCACCCCAAGAGTGATAGACCAGGACAGTACTACTATCAGAGCTGGAGCCACACGGGCTGCATTCTCCCCTCTGCTCAGTCTGAGCCCCTTCTGGACGATGGACAGAGGCTCTCCACCCTCCCACTGCCATTCCCACCATCCATCCAAGGGAAAGCCTGGAGCCGCTGGCTCTGTCACTCGACATCCTGCGGAGAGTGTCTGAACTAACTGGCTCCGTATGACCACGCTGTCTTCATCACCCAGTGCTGTCTTTTTCCTTCCCACCCAAGAGCTTGTTTGGACATTTTTAAGAGAACAAGAAAATGAGAGAATACTGATGCAAGCACATCCCAAGCCTTCTTCCCAGTACTGCAACGCAGGGTGCCTATCCATCCGTGGCTGTGTTGTCCTAGGAAAATGAGTGCTCGCTCTGGGTGGTCCTCGCCATTCGTCTAGGAGATGCTGGCGACGTGGCTCTCATTCAGAAAAAAGTGTTACTCTAAGGCACAGGCCAAGTTTGGCAACTGTGAACATGGACGGCCTCCCAATAATTCCAGGAGGGTTGGCTCTTCACCGGTTGGCCCTTCTTCAGCAACTGAAATGGAAGGATGAAGGAAGAACACTGCATCCTTGGGCCTTTCCCTTTCCTCCCAGGATCTGATCATCTCATAGACTCCTGCTCTCCCCAGGGATTGGAGACAGAATCCATGGCAGGGACCCAGACAGCAGCCCTACAACAGCACTGCCAACAGGGCTCCCAGACACATCTTCCATGTTTTCTGAAGGAGTTCTGGCATCCGGGAGAAACAGCAGAATACATGCAGAGCAGGTGAACCAGCCTGCTCAGCTTCTCACGCTAACTACTTAGGGCAGCATGATCCTAACAACAGGTCCTACACGACCCTCCGCTGTGTTTAGAACCTAGGAGTTCATGGGAATTTGCAACTTTTCTCACATGGGGGACATCCATCAAAATGCAGATGCCCAAGAAGAAAGTCTTGGTGATTTGTTAAATCTCCTCAAGTGCCTGTTATTGATGAAAGAATTAAATCAGATGCTGGTAGTCATGAATGTCCAAGGGCAAGCTGGGTGCAGTGGCACATGCCTGTAATCCAGTAGCTTGGGAGGCAGGAGAATCGTGAGTTCAAGGCCAGCCTCAGCAAAACCGAGGTGCTAAGCAATTCAGTGAGATCCTGTCTCTAATACAAAATAGAATACAAAATAAGGCTGGGGATGTGGCTCAGTGGTTGAGTGGCCCCAAGTTCAATCTCTGGTACTTACCCCCCCAAAAAACACAAAAGAATGTCATAGGACAACCAAATCCACACCCAATGGGCTTCAGAAATTGACTGCTTCCTTGTTTTTGCCTCCAACTACTGTAGCTAACTTCTTTTATGCCCAATGGTACACAAAAAGTCACATAATCTTCACCATCTGTGACATACAAGACTTCACTTGAAGTCAAGAAGGCCAGAAAGCCTTGCTCCAAAAATGATGACTTCAAAAGAGGAATTAACTCCAGGGAGATGGGTCTTTAAAGAATGAAAGGTCACATTTCCACACAAACATCTGTCAGAGGCGGGAAAACATAGCAAAGGAAAAAGCTCCACAGAGCTGCTGCCCGCCCATGTGGGCCAAGATGCCTCTGGAAACGCCATGTTCTCCAAAACTTCCAGGAAGCACTGAGTATGCCCTGCAGCTGGAAGTCATCAAACTTCTCCACATAACTTGATTTCCATGCTCCTGGGAAGTGTGGCCGGTAGGAGGGATCTCGTGGCTTCAGCCCACAAAGCCTCCCTAGCCTCACTTTGCTCGGGAGATACTGGAGCTTAAGAGCTGCCAGGAGACGCTCCACACATAGCCATCCCTCTTGAATCTGCTTTCAGCCCCTCAGCCCAGAGCTGGAGGATACTTAACCAGGGAGCGTCTGACACCACCCAGGATCCTCAAGAGTTCCATCATTTGCCACAAGCTGGCTTCTTGTTCCATTTCCAGACTCCTGGGGAGTCTGCTGGCCACCACAAAGTTCAAATTCATCCAGGTGGAATATTCCCTGACAGCGGAAATATTCTTGTAAGGACATTAAAAATGAGAAACCAGCTTTAAGGGGTGAAGGAAATCATGTCTCCCACAATGGAGGTACGGACAGTGAGGCCTGATCGTAGCCCAGGGGTGTCCATAGCCCAGTGTGGGGGGGTCACGTCTGGTACTGGACACACCTGCAAAAACACATTTCCCAGATTCATTCCTTACTGAGGCCCAGTATCCATGGATGTGCCTTGTTTGGAAATAGGGTCTTTGCAGATGCAATACAATTAGGATGAGGTCATATTAGATTAAATCCAATGAACAGTGATCTTATAAGGAGAGAGGGATCTGGAGATAACTAGACAGACACAGAGGGACGAAGACTGTGAGGCACAAGCCATGGAAACCAGGGACTGCCAGCAACCCGAGAAGATGCCAGGGACGATTCTCCCCCACAGCCTTCAGGAGGAACACGGTCCTGCACGCCCAGCCTCCAGAGTTGAGAGAACCCCTTTTTGTTGCTTTAACCACCCACTTTGTGGTGCTTTACAGGGCAGTCCTGGAAAAGAAAATCTAGCTGGCACCGTCACTCTCTTCCTGGCAGGGCTCTGTGCCACACGTCACCTGCTGGGTAGATCCTCTGGACGTCTATACTACATTTGCCGAGCCCCGGGAAGATGAAATGATAG